CAGGGATCCCTGGGTGGCTCAGTGGTTTGGCGCCTGCCTTCGGCCCGGGGTGTGATCCTGGGGTCCTGGGATTGAGTCCCACGTCAGGCTCCCTGCAAAGAGCCTGCTTCTCCCTTTGCCTAAGTCTCTGCCTCTCTCTCTGTCTCTCTCTGTCTCTCATGAATAAATAAATAAAATCTTTAAAAAAAATATGCAAGCTAGAAGTGCAGCTGCTGGCACCCGTCAGGTTGGGCTACCCCTCGGGGGTGGAGGGCGGAGGCTGAGGGACAGTGCTTCCTCTGCCAGCCCCCCATGTAGACTTCCAGAGTGCACAAAGCTCCGCAGAAGGTCTGAAGGCATCCAGAGCAAGTTGGGTCACCATGGTGACCTTCTGAAGGCATCCAGAGCAAGTTGGGTCACCATGGTGACCTTCTGAAGGCATCCAGAGCAAGTTGGGTCACCATGGTGACCAATCTGATGGCACAGCCTTCCCCTTGGAGCTTAGGGGAAAGGTGCAGGACACAGACGTACACTGGGACGTTAGCATCTTGTGGAGGGCATGTGAGCCATGGAGGGGTGAAACCACCTGGGGAGAAGGAAGAGCTGCTGGGTGCTGAGCCCAGGTGCTGCGGCAACATTTCGAGGCCACAGTGAGGGCTTTCCCTCCTCTTAGGAGCACTTCCTTCTTGTTACCTACATATAAGATGCTTTGTTGCCTTTTCTCCTGTCCTCTCTTCTTACTCCTTAGAAGGTTTATCCTTTATCACCTTTACAATGTATTGAATTTCCTCAAGACCGGGTCTCACGGCTTCTTCACTTCCATGTGTTTCCTGTAATTGGCCCCGTGGGGCACATCAGTCACACCCAAGGTTGTATTTTCCTCCTTTAAGTTACTAACTTTTAGGGTTCTCTCCATTCCAGACACTGCTTACAAGAGTCACACCCTTCTTTCTAGCTACTTACTTGTAAATTGTAAACTGTCGTTAAATGCCCCAGAGTCACCTGAAAGCAAACCTGGGGCACCTGGGTAGCTCAGTGGGTGAGCGTCTGCCTTTTGCACAAATGACGGCCTAGTTTTTTTCTAAATAAAAGAATCACTGGAGGGATCCCTGGGTGGCGCAGCGGTCTGGCGCCTGCCTTTGGCCCAGGGCGCGATCCTGGAGACCCGGGATCGAATCCCACGTCGGGCTCCCGGTGCATGGAGCCTGCTTCTCCCTCTGCCTGTGTCTCTGCCTCTCTCTCTCTCTGTGTGACTATCATAAATAAATTAAAAAAAATTTTAAAAAAAAAGAATCACTGGAGACCTCACCATGGACTAGAAGAAGCTCAAATCTTCCTGAGGAAAGAGAGGGACACTGTTGTCAGAGCATCTATGGTTTGCCAGTTAAGTGCTTCCCATGTGCTACCGGATTCAGTACCTACAGCAGCGTGGCTGGATACACACTGACCCCTTGTTTAAGGCAAGAAGCCAGACTCAAAAGAGGCAGCAGACTCTCGAGATACACTCTCAAGCTTGGGGCTCTCCGACTTGCAAGTGCACTGTGGGCAGCAGCAGAGAGAAGCAGCGATCGGAAGCATTACAGTTTTCCTAATGCAATGTGCAATATTTGAATTTTGGGGGTGGAGCTGTAACCCAATATACTGAAATTTTATTGCAAATGATACATTTGTTCTACCACATGAGAGATGCCTGGTAATTGGAATTAACTCTGTGTGTCCTACAGAAATAATTTTTATGATTATCTTTTCAAAGAAAAGGTGGGTTAGTTCCTAGAAAGAAAGTATCCTGGCTGCCACTGAAGCACACAGATAAGAATGTGATAAACATGGATCCAAAGAGTATTCTAGTTTCCTTACCACTAGGTAGGAATCACATGTTGTAAAACCCATTTGTGAAATGCTGTATAACCCTCTCAAGAATATAAAAGTTTCGGGGGATCCCTGGGTGGCGCAGTGGTTTAGCGTCTGCCTTTGGCCCAGGGCGCGATCCTGGAGACCCGGGATCGAATCCCACGTCGGGCTCCCGGTGCATGGAGCCTGCTTCTCCCTCTGCCTGTGTCTCTGCCTCTCTCTCTCTCTGTGTGACTATCATAAATAAAACTAAAAAAAAAAAAAAAAGAATATAAAAGTTTCAAAACATCCTGCAGTAAAGAAACTTATTTAATTTTAGCTAGAGTTGTTAGATGTATGTGAATATGGAAACTATATTCTTATATAATTATATATATATCCAGGGATAATAATACTAACACTAATACACTAATACACTGCAGTGTTACAGACTTAGATCCTTCCCTTGCAACCCCCCCTCTTTTCTAAAAAAATATCTGCATCTCAGTTTACTCACGAGGAAGTTACTCCTAACACCTAACTCCAAGTCTCCTGCAGAGGACTAATGTTTCCTGCAGAACACAACGCTTGCTCAGTTGTACGTACGGGGACTGCTCACTACTTGACAAGGGGGGGGGGGTGGTGTTAACGCCTTTGATTCAAGCTTAAGGTTTCCAATTCTAGGGACTCCTGGGTGGCTCAGCAGTTAAGCGTGCCTGCCTTCCGCTCAGGGCGTGATCCTGGAGTACCGAGGTCGAGTCCCCTGCATCAGGCTTCCTGCATGGAGCTTGCTTCTCCCTCTGCCTTTGTCTGTCTGTCTCTCTCTCTGTTCCTCATCAATAAATAAATAAAATCTTAAATAAGATAAAGTATCCAATTCTACAGATTTTTTACATAGCACACATTTTCAATACTTGCATTATTTTTGTGGTTCACTAAATCCACTCTAAATTTCTTACATTTTTCTTCAGTTGAGAAAACAAACAACACAATCCTACTCCAGAGGCGCACAGAGGCTGCATAGTGAGGGAGGGCTCTCTCAAGGTTCCTGTTTATCGCCAGTGTTCTACATGGAGAAGACTCATATTTGGCAAAGCACTCTTTACCAAAACAATCATCACTTGGAAATGGAGCCCAGGACACTCTTTCAGAAGGAGCAGAGGAAAGTCAAAGAAAAGTGGTGGCGAGTTCTACCACACGCAGAACCACAGAATCATGGATGAGCCCACGTGCTCCCATTGAGCAGAGATTTGGGAGAACGAATTCAAAACTCTGTTCTGTAAGGCTTCTAGAAGCAGGAAGATTTGGGAGAACAAAGATTCCTTTGGTAAGATTTGGGAGATCAAATATACAATTTTGTTCTGAAGGCTTCTAGAAGCAGGAAGCTCCGTACCACGTAAAGGTAATCCATTTCATCATAGGGATGCTCCCATTGTCAAACAATGCTCTAGTAAGATGACCTGATATCTGTCTTTCAATGTTTTTCTTTCTTTTTTTTTTAAAGATTTTATTTATTTATTCATGAGAGACAGAGACAGAGAGAGAGAGAGAGAGAGAGAGAGAGAGGCAGAGACACAGGCAGACACAGTCATGTGGGACTCAATCCGGGGTTTCTGGGATCACTCCCTGGGCCAAAGGCAGACACTCAACCGCTGAGCCACCCAGGCATCCCTTTCAATGCTTTTCTCACTTGGGTGTTGGCTGTGTCTCCTGGAGAAACCCAGGACAACGCCATTACCCCATCCCTATGAAAATTCTTCAAGCATCTACTAAGTTTTTTCTCTTATTCAAGTGTAGAGATTATATTTTTGGTAGCTTCCATGCAAGAATCTGAAGTACTGTGTGATCTGTGTCCATCATATATCCATGTGCTTGAAGCTTAAAGCGGTGAGTGCAGGGGTGAGTATAGGACATACAGAATCCCAAGGCTAAAGGTTGCCTTTTTTTTCCACCTCACTAACCATCCCCAGACCAACAGATAAAGATGACCAGCTGCTCTACAGGATGTGAGTGGGGAAAATGAAAACTTTTATGTAATGGGCATTAAAAAAAATAAGAAAATGGAAAAGTGAAAAGAAAGGGTTTTTTTTTGTTTTTGTTTTTTTTAAAGATCTACATTTCAAGGAAAAAAACAGGAAATCTCCAGTAAATCATCCAGTAGTTAAATAACTCTTAGAAGAAATTCTGAAAATTCTAGGATTGGACTTGGATTTCCATGTAAACCAGTCTCCCAGCTGCTCCTGTGGAGTATAACTCAAGAAGCTTGCCTTCCTCCTGCCCGGGCAAGAACCTCTCAAACCCACCAAGAAGCCATTCAAGCTGCACTGACAATGCAAAGCTCAGAGAAGCATCACAGAACTCTGGACAGAATGGAAGAAGAACTGGAATGGGAGTGCAACTCTATCTTTTACCTGCCAGAGAAGAAAGTTCTACAAATGCACATTTCTAAAGTTGCTAATCTCTTGTAAGCTGAACATCTGCTTCACTCATACAAATAAATTTCACCTTCTAGCTCATTTAAAATTAAAGAGCAAATATGAATTTTAAAATATGAGCATGTTAAAAAATAAAAAGACACACACACACACACACACACACACACAAAGCTAGTTGTAGGCTGCTGCTAAAGCTCAGGGTGAGATTTTATGGAAAATCCTGGTGCAGTTTTATGGGAGACTCATAGAGGAAGTGCTAAAAACAGGGATTTATATAATGAAAGTGATATTTTAAGTCTTCTCTAGAATACTACAATGGCTAGGAGATAATTAACATTTTATTTTAGTTTAGGGAGAACCTGGCAGTTGCTTTTTGTTCTCAGGATAAAATTTATGGTATGATTGAAAACATGGGAAGAAAAATGATTGCACAAAAGGGTAAGATAAATCTTTATAAAAAGACAACTTTTCACCCTCTCCCTCAGGAAAATCCTATGAAATTGCCCAGAAAAGGAGATATATATATTTTTTTCTGCCAAAGGGATTTTTATACCTATCTTCTCTCCTAGGTGGCAGTATGGCATAAAAAGACACTAACTCAGGCCTCCCTACCCCCCCACCACCCCCCACCCCCTGCCCCGCTGTTTTCAGGATTCCAAGATCACTACGAATGATGGTTCAAGGGGAAATACTTTACTAAGGTCTCAAAAGAGAGAAACATTTTTTTTTTAATAGGCAGAAAAGAGTGGTACTCACTGGCTCCACGTTGTATGAAAACAGAGCATACTCCTTATCTGGTGAGATTTCGTATCGGATGGCTCTTAATGATTCCTAAAAGAAAAAAAAAAAACAAGAATTTTACAGTGTTATGTAGAAATGACATAGCTCAGACTTTCGTGGTGAATCTCAGCTTTCTGGTGCCGTTTTCAAAATCTGCTATGAAATTTGTGTGCGGTGAATGCCCTAAAGTATATTAAATGATGGCAGTAACCTTTCTTTGCTGAATAATATAATAATAATAATAATAATAATAATAATATAGTAGGTTGATATTTTCACATTTTATTCATTTTTTTTCATGTTACAGCAAAGCAATACTCACTGTATCTATAAAGGCAAATCAATGGAAGAAAAGATGAAAACCAGTAATCTCTTCCCTGCAAGACCCCCTCCTCTCTGTATCTTTAAACACACGTTCCCTTGCTCATTTGTACACACTCAGAAACGTACACGAAACAGACTGGTTCCCAAAGAACATCACACTCTACACAGTACTTTGCAGGTGCCTTTTCACCATCTTTGATGATACTGACCCACAAACTGGCCAGTGTGCAGAGGACTAACCATGGTTCTTCCTTCATGTTTCTTCACGGCACACAGGCAATTGGACAGAAATGGTATCATCAACAATGCAGTTTCCTTTCATTTCCCTCACCTTCTTGCCTGCATTCACCCTGTGGTGCAGACCCCCCACACCCACTTGGAAGAGCCCTGTCAGCCTGGTGTGGGCCACCTCTACCCACGATCGTACGACTACGTGCAAACACACAGATGGTAAGCACGGTGAAAAGTGACACCACATCACACACATCTCTCCCCCGTGCAACAATTGCTTTAGCCTGGATTGCTGGTCTTTGGAGCTTGCAAAGTACTCTATGGTGTGGCTATACCTTGATTTACGCACTCGGTTCTTACTAAAAGGCAGTCACAGAAGATTTTTGGTATTCATGACAGCTACTGGAAAGTTCTGGAAAGTCTCCACAAACTCTGAGTTAGAGAACACCAAAGCAAACTGTTCCGAGGGGAAATGCAGGGCCAGGTTTTGGCGAGGCTCTGGTCACAATACTCTTGTCAACGAATCCGTACATAACCCTGTCTCACGTGTGTTTCGGTTTAAAGACATCTTATTGAATATATGCTGTGGATTCATCGACGCTGAACTCGCAGGGACAGCGAGACATCCCTTGCGTCTGAACGGAGCTCCTCTAACACGGGTTTTCTCCATAAGGCACATCACAGGCTTCTTGCATTTCGGATCCCTACCTGGCATTTCGGCATTATCCTTGGCAGGTCATTCCAAACAGCATACTCTCCAAGAAAAAGCACAAAAATGTGGAAAACACAGCACTCCATAGGCCAAGCCTGCTAAAGAACACTTGTTCGCAGCACGAGATCTGGAACTCAGATGTTTTTGCCGTTATCCACACGTCTGGGAATGACGGCACAAGCACCACGAGTGTGAGTCTGGACATCACAAACGCATTTTTAGCACACTGGCGAGCCCGCAGACACAGAAGCCGCGCAGTGGTAAGGAGCAGCTGTCATGCGTTTCCAGGGTGGTCACTATATGCGACGTTGTAATAAAAATCCTTCCCGGTGTCTCTCGACTGGTGTGTGTGAGTTTTTAAACAACTTTTTAAAGGACAGATATCTAAGGCTGGGTTGATGATTTACAAGTTTTTTTTTTTTTAAATGCAAATAGATATTGCCAAATTGCTTTTCAAAAACGTTTTTGGAATTAACAGCCTCACTACTGATGAGTGAGTGCAGCCTTTCTCCCTGCTCTGGCAGCAGGAAGCACTGCTCTATATTCTTCAGCTTGACCCTCTGCACGTGCGGTGCTGCCTCACCGGGAGCTCAGCTCATACCCCCCTGCTCCGGGCACATCTGATCCTCACGGGGTATGTGTTTGGCAATGTGGATTTTATCTCTAAAAAACTGTCCATCCATATCATCCATATCGCTATGCTCTGACTTCTCTCCTACTTTTTCTGAAGTTCAGTCCCACCACGTTCTCATCCCCACTCAACCCAAACTCCTCTTCTCAAGGTTACCAGACACTAACATACTTAATGCCATGATTTCTTAGCTCTCCTCTTGGCACACCTGACCACTTTCTCCTCCCCAAAACCCCGTCTCCACTTGGCTTCCAGGATGCATGCCTGGCTTTCTTGTACCTCCTCAATGTTTCTCTCCATGCACTTTCTCTGGCTCCCTTCTTTCCTCTGAATGTCAGAGCAACCAACATTAGTAACTGGGGTTTCTCTGATTTTCGAGCAGAAATCACATCCTATGTGACCACCCAGCCTCGTGGCTATGAAAACTGGGTACCTGCTGAGGATTTCAATCATCACATGTCCGAGACCCCCTGAACCTGACCAGACTTGACCCTGAGCTTCAGATAGGTATGACCCACCACCTCCCTGGTGTCTCCACTTGAATGTCAGGTGGGCATCTCAATGTAAAGTGGATAAAACAGAGCCCCTCACATTCCATCCCCTCTCTGTCCAGCCCCGGTACAGTCTTCCTCATTTCAGACACAGCAACCCCATCCACTCAGCCGCTCAGGCCAAGCTCCTAGCTCTCCTTTCTTTTCTCTTCTGTCTCACACACCTCGCATCTAGCTGAGCAGGTCTTCCATCAAAGTCCATTCGGAACAGTTGTTCCCCACCCCTCCATCATCCCCCAGGTCTAAGCTCCTACTTCTTGGGCCATTGCTGTAACCTTTGAGCTGTGTCCCAGGCTCTGACTTGGGCCCCTGCAGTCCACTCTAGCTCCAGGGGTCAGGATCATCTTTGCAATACAGGAACCATCACCCAGCCCCAACTCACCCCCCTCAGCTTCCATCTCACGTGGACTGAAAGTCAAAGTCCTTACTGAGCAGTGGGCCTACTGCCTGGCCCCCATCTCCAAGTATGGCCCCTTGGCCCCCTTTACCCCAGCCACATTGCTGTCCACACCTTCCCAGAGCAAGCCGGGCACGTGTGGCCCTCGTGGTCCTTGCGATGGTCTCACTCCTGCCTGCAATACTTTAGATTGTCGCCTGTCAGCTTTCTTCTTGAAAGCTTCCTAAGTGAGGCCTTGCCTCTCTTCAGTGGCTATGAGGTCTAGAAATCTCAACAGGCTGCCTCTGACGTTTCATAACCCTCTTCCCTTATTTTCCTAGGCTTAATCATTATTACAATAATGTACATTTAACTTATTTATCCTATTTAGAGCCTGTCCCCTTCACTGGAATGTAAGCTCCCTGAAATGAGGACTTTTTTTAAAAAAAAGATTTTATTTATTCATGAGAGACACACAGAGAGATGCAGAAGGAGTAGCAGGCTCCCTGCGGGGAGCCTGATGTGGGACTCAATCCTAGGAACCCAGGATCACGACCTGAGCCAAAGGCAGACGCTCAACCGCTGAGCCACCCAGGTGCCCCAAAGGAGGGCTTTGAAATCTTTAATTTCTCTCAGTTATGCTTTGTAGTTTCCAGTGTACCGTTCTTGCCCATATTTCATTAAATGTATTCCTAAGTATTTGGTATTACTGATATTTTGTATATATAAAGCATAGAAAATATACATGTCTCAATATCCAATTGTCCATTGCTAACATATAGAAATAGAATTGATTTTGGGACTCTGACCTTATGTTCTGCAACCCTGCTAAACTTCATTAATTGTTCTAGCAATTTTTTTGATAGATTCTTTAGAATTTTCTATATAATCAAATTTTCTGCAGCTAAAGAGGTTTTTTTTTTTCCCTTCCTAACTAGATGTGTTTTGCTCCTTTTTATAACCTCATTCCACCCTAGAGAACTGCAAGGACCATGCACAGAAGACACCAGGTGGACACCTTGCCTTTGTCCCCATCTTAGGGAGAAGGCATTCAGTCCTCACTATTCGGTGATTAGTGGCAGGTGTTTTGTAGATGTCTGTTATTGAGTGAAGATGTTCCTATTTTCAGTTTGCTCAGAATTTTCATAATGGATGTTGAGTTTTCTAATGAGTGTTGAATAATCTCAAATGCTCTTTTCTGCATTTACGGAGATGATTATGTTGTTTTACTTTTTTTTTTAAGGCTTTCGAAACAGTAAATTACATTGTTTGATGTTCAGATGTTGAAGCAAACTTGCATTCCTTGGATAAACTCTATTTGGCCATGATGTATTAGCTTTTTATGTATTGCTGGACTGGATTTGCTATTTTGTTGAGGATTTTTCTGCCTGTGTTCATCAGGGAAATTGGTCTGTGGTATTCTTTTCTGGAAATAACCTCGTTAGGTTATTTTGGGGCAGTGCTAGCCTAATAAATAACTTGGGAAGTACTTCCTCCTCTTCTGTTAGTTTCGTAAGTTTATGCAGAACCAATATAATGATTTTCTTATAAGTTTGGTAGAATTCATCAGGGAAGAAGCCATTTACACCTTGAGTTTTTCTACACGCGGAGCTTTTTGTCTATTAATTCAATTTTTATATGGATATAGGATTACTTAGATTACCTATTTCATTTTTAGTGAACTGTGATAATTTGTATCTTTCAAAGACTTATTTCATTTACTTTCATTTCATTGTCAAATTTATTGATCAATATAAGGCCATTACAAATACTTTCCATTATGCTTTCCATACCTGTACGGATGGACCTTCCTCTGTTCCTACTACTGGTTTTTGTCCTTTATCTTTGTTCTTAATCAATGTTATTGATCTATTCCAAAAACCAGTTTTGCGTTTATTTTTGTTTTTGTTTTTTTTTTCTATTTTTTCTTTTCCATGCAATTAATTTTTTTTATTGCCTTTCTTCTGGGTGATTATGTTAGGTTTCTCTTTTCCTTCTAGTTTTTCAAGGTGTAAGCTTAAATCTAATACTATGAACACTTAAAGTTATAAATTTCCCTGTAAGTGCTGCCTACCCATACACCTTAAATTTTGATATTATACATCCTAATTTTCCTTCACTTCAAAATATTATCTAATTTCTACTTGCTTTCTTCTTTGGCTGATTTGTCTCTCAAAAGAAGGTTGTTTAATTTTTATTCATCAGGCTACATTCCAGATATTTTTC